CTGAAATACTAATCTCCCTTTTTACATTCCCACTGTAGCATGTGTTCTTCCCTGTTATCTTCTTCCCTTTCTCTCACACTATTACATTTATTCGTTTCAATTTATTTACATTATAGTCTGTTTTCCTCACAGGGACTCAAGGCAGATTACACAAAGCAAAATCAATGAAATGGGGCATTCAATAACCAATGCATTAGGATTTTAGAAGTCTGGAACTACCAGAAAGAACTAAGCATAGCACATGACACATTAAGCGGTACAGGAATTACATAATAGGATCCTACTTGAATAAGCTATACACAGGTGTATAGACCACAGTCCCAAACATTTATCCAAGTGAAGTTCATGAACCATTTTGTATAGTGCAACCCTGTTATTACCTGTGCAGAAAAGCCCTCTTGAATAGTTTAGTTTTACATAGTTTGCAGAAGGCCAGGAGAGTGGGGCCTGACCTCTTCAGGGAGGCCATTCCACAAGGCGAGAGCCACAACAGAGAAAGCAGGTGTACTCCCAGGTGTTGATTTTGCTCATTTGCAGGTTGGCACCTGAAGAAGACTCTGCTGACATGAGCGGAGTAGTCATGGCGGAGCACAGGGAGAGAGGTGGTCCCGGAAATAAGAGGGGCCAAGGCCATGAAGGGCTTTGTACATGACAGCCAATATCTTAAACTGAGCCTGGTAACAGATGGGCAGCCAATGGAGCATCTGCAGAATGGAAGTAATATGCATGCTTTGTCTAGCTCCTGTTAACAGCCGAACCGTGGCATTACATAAGAACATAAGAGACGCCAATGTTGGATCAGGCCAAAGGCCCATCCACTCCAACACTCTGTATCACACAGTGACCAAAAATACCAGGTGCCACCAGGAGGTCCACCAGTGGGGCCAGGACTTTAGAAGCCCTCCCGCTGTTGGCCCCCCCAAGCACCAAGAAGACAGAGCATCACTTGCCCCAGAGCCCCTATCCATACCTTGTGGCTAATAGCCACTGATGGACCTCTGCTCCATATGCCTATCTAATTCCCTTTTGAAGCCGTCTGTGCTTGTAGCCGCCACCACTTCCTGTGGCAGTGAATTCCATCCCCCCCAAGCACCAAGAAGACAGAGCATCACTTGCCCCAGAGCCCCTATCTATACCTTGTGGCTAACAGCCACTGATGGACCTCTGCTCCATATGCCTATCTAATTCCCTTTTGAAGCCGTCCGTGCTTGTAGCCGCCACCACTTCCTGTGGCAGTGAATTCCATGTGTTAATCACTCTTTGGGTGAAGAAGTACTTCCTTTTATCCGTTCTAACCCGACCGGTCAGCAATTTCATGGAGTGCCCACGAGTTCTTGTATTGTGAGAAAGGGAGAAAAGTACCTCTTTCTCTACCTGTTCTTTCCCATGCATAATCTTATAAACCTCAATCATGTCACCCCTCAGTCGTCTTTTCTCCAAGCTAAAGAGCTAGCTGGACTAGCTGGAGTTTCTCACTTAATTCTGAGTGGAGACCAATGTACAGTGCATTACAGTAGTCTAGTCTCAATGTTATTGTGTGGATCCAGGTGGCCAGGTCAGCCAGGGGCCATCTTACGGGCTAGGCTGAGTTGGTAGAAAGCCTTTTTTGCAAATACTTTAACTTGCTTCTCCAGGAATAATACAGTCGGATCCAGTATGACCCCACGGTTTTTAACTGAGTCAGCAAGGATCAGTTGAACTCCATTAAAAGTGGGAGAAAGATGTCCTTCGAGACCCCCTCCTTCCCAACCAGCATTATCTGTCTTCAGGGTTTAGTTTCGGTTTCCTTACTTTTAGACGGATAACCACCACGGCCAGGCAACACTTCAGGACCTCTACCACATCATCAAGAGATCTGAATAAGAATATGTAGAGCTGAGTATCATCAGCATGACAACCAACCCCAGAACTATGAATGATTGTCTTATGGGCTTTATATAGAGATTGAAAAGCATGGGGAATAGAATTGCACCCTGTGGAACCCCAAGAAGATAGGTCCCATACCAATGACAACTGGTTTCCAACAGCAACCCTTTGAGTCTGATCCATGAGAAATTATTTTAACCAGTTCAATGCATGTCCCGATACCTACTTCTGCCTCCAGGGGTCTCAACAAGATGGCATGATCCATCATATCAAAGGCTGCAGATAAAGAGCAACAAAAGGGCTTGTCCTTTCTCTACATTCAGATGGAGGTCATCAACTAAAGCTAGCAGAGCTGTCTCTGTACCATAGAGTGGCCTGAAGCCAGACTGAAAAGGTTCTAGGGCAGATGAGTTATCCAAGACTTCGAGTTCTCTCTCCCACTCACTTTGCCATTCACTCTGCTCTCCCACTCACTTTGCCCAGGAAGGGTAGATTAGAGACCAGACGATAGGTATTTATGTAGGTATTTTTTTAAAGTAGCGGATGGAGTGGCCGAGTGTGGCCAAGGGAAGTTGCCCTAAGCTAGTGACTAATTTATTGCAGATGCTAATGGTTTGATTTTAGCAGCCAGGATGGGCAAGGATCCAGGGTACAAGTAGTAGCTTTCACAGATCCTAGGATCTAGTGCACATCCATCATGGAAACTGGGTCAAAATGATCCATAAATAGGCCAAGCGGTCTATTAGGCCTTTCTTCTGGTGATATCATAACTGACCTCCAGATCAGGGCATATTTTCAATACTTTATCAACAAAAATCTTAGCAAATGTATCATAGCAAATAATCTGTTCTTGGGACATTACAGGCTCAGATTTAGGTGTCAGCAAATGTTGAGCTACCTTGAACAATTAGGGCCCCTGCCACACGGGGGGGGGAGGGGGAACGGCCGAAGTGCGGCTTTTTAAAGCCGCACCAAAAGAGACACGCAGCGGCAGGATCAGATAGATCCCCTGAGACGCCGCGCAGTTGCTCCCCGGCACGATCAGATGCCGGGGGGAAGCCACTGCAGGGAGAACGAGGCAGCCGAACTGTGCATGTGTGCGCGTGCGCAGTTTGACCGGGAGCCTCGATTGCTCCTGCAGACGGGTGCACTGGCGATCTCACGGCTGCACTTGCTGTGCCGTTCCAGGTTGGTGCTACCTTTTACTTGGGGGTTTTTTGCAGCGGGTTTTAGGCCAGAAGGGACGGATCGGGGACGGGTGCACGCCGATTCCCAGATGTTGCGGTGTGCTCGCGCCCGTTTGCTGCGCCCCCAATCCGTCCCTCTTCCTGCCCAAAACCTCCCGTGTGACCGGGGCCTAGGATGAACATGAAGCAGCTGATACTATAATAGTAGAGAAGTAACCTTTCTTTGCCACTGTCACCACCACTTCTTAGGGCTTAAGCCTTACAGTTTGGTGTAGTGGTTAAGAGTATGGACTCTAATCTGGGAGAACTGGGTTTGATTCCCCACTCCTCCACATGCAGCTGCTGGTGTGACCTTGGGTCAGTCATAAGTTCTCTTAGAGCTGTTCTCTCAAGAGCAGTCCTCAAAAGAGCTCTCTCAGCCCCACCTACCTCACAGGGTGTCTGTTGTGGGGAGGGGGAAGGGAAAGAAGATTGTAATCCGCTCTGAGACTAAGTGAAGGACGGGGTATAAATCCAATTTCTTCCTCCACCTCAGATTCAAAATGAATTCTCTACAAAACATTTTAAGATCACCTGGCTCCAGGGTAAACCAGGAGGCTGGGTTTCTTCCCAAGAGCGAGAAAGGTCAACAAGGGGCAACCTCGCTGATAGCTTCAAGGAGCTTCACATTCTATATTTCTCCTGCAGCCTCAACAGACACATTGTTGGAATCCTAAAATCTCCCAGAGCATTCTGGAATCTGGGAGCATTCATGAACCTCCATGGGTGAACTATTTTAACTGGGCCCCCTCTCATGTGGGGTTTCAGGGCCAGATTCACCTTGGTTTCAAGTAGGTAGTGTCAGACCATAGTTCAGGACAAATCTCCAGCCATGAAACCAAACATTTCCTCAAAGGCTCAGTGCAGAAGATTAAGTTTAGGATGTGACCACTTTCATGTATTGGGCCAGTCAAAATTTGGGACCCGAGGCAGTCAAAGAAGCTATGAAATCCTGGGCCAGTTCCAATGAGTTATCATTGGCATGGGTGTTGAAGTCCCTCAGCATGATCAGTCCTGGAGTCTCCAGCACCACATCCAACAATAGCCCTGCCAACTCAGAGAGTGCCCACTGGGAACTAGGTGGACAGTAGACAAGAAGAATGCCTCATCTATTCTTAGTCCCTAATGTAAGGTGCATAAAGTCAATGTCAGTGATAATTTACGCTGGAAGTCTGTAGAAGTTGAAGGATTCTGGCAAAACTTAGTGAAACCTGACATTGTACAATCCCTACAGTGCAAAGGGTGCTGCTGCGTCCCAAATGGCACCATTCTATCAAATGTATTATTCCTTACTCCCACCTTTAATTCACTCCAAGGCTCAGAAAATCCAAAAGTCAGCATGATGGCATTTTACGGCCTGTTCCCTCTTCCACTCTTCCTAGTATCCCAAGCCCCACTGCCCGCATGAAACACTGTTTTCCTTTCCAAAATGTTCTGTCTGGCAGTATTTCGAAGGTGTTGAAGGCTATTTCACCAAACACATAGCCACAAGAAGCAAGTTTAGTGGTGTGCTGACAGTACACATGCTCACATTAAATACACAAATTCTGACAGAGGACATCCTGGCTGGTGTACACTTATCAAAAAGGTAACAGGTTGCATCCAACCCACTTCTCTGCTGGTAAATAAAAACCAGAGGTGGTGTTCCCCTTTGATCACCAAAAAGTGAATGCTGAGGCTCATAGAACCCGCTTGGACAAAAGCCAGGCAGGACAAGGGCTGTAAGGAGGAGGGGACTTGGGCGAGACTGAGTGAAGAAGTTGGCAGAATCCAACCCAACGCATGGTGCAGAACTGGTAGGCTCAACGGTAGCCGTGCAAGTAATCAACACAACAAAATCTGTATTAAACAATTCAGTAGGTTTTTATTTCAACAGCAAATGTGTAAGTCTGTACATCATGTCCAGGTCTTACATTTGACACCAAAGTAAAATCCTAAAAGCATAATAAAACTCAGGCCTTCATAGACTGCCACAAGAGGTACTACAGGTTTATCTGTGCTTAGTATTTCCATGGGTCTTTCATGTGTTCAAAACACTTCACATACATTATCTCAATTATCCTTACAATAGCCCTGTAAGGCTCATTAGTATTTATATCCACATATTATAAATGAAGAGCTGAAGCGGAGAAACAGGTCAATGCAACTGGAGATGCCCAAGCTCACATTCTAAGACACAACATATCAACAGGTTGCATGCTACATTCACAAATATTCCTCATCAACTCATTCCCACCTCTGCTACTCCAGCAACAGCTGGGGAAAGTTGACAAAGCACTCACCTGTGGCTCAGAGTTTAACTTTTCCCAACTGAAGCAGGAGGTGGCAGCAGCGAATAAGGACTAGATAGAAAAGGAGAAATTATAACCTACAACCAGGGTTCCATACACTCATATGCTAGTTCCATCTAGAAGAAGAAGAGAAGAGATTGGATTTATACCCTGCCCTTCACTACCCAAAGGTGTCTCAGAGCGGCTTACAAATTCCTTTCCCTTCCCCTCCCCACAACAGACACCCTGTGAGGTAGGTGGGGCTGAGAGAACTCTTGACAGAAACTGCTCTTTTTCAAGGACAGCTGTGCCAGTGCAGTGGCACCTTAAAGGCTCACAAAGCTTTATTCTACCATAAGCATTCAGGAGTTGGAACTTGCTTCATCAAATACAACTGATGTGAATTCTGACTCAAAAAGCTTACACCAGAGCATATTTTGTTAGCCCCTGCCACTGAATTCCTGTTCTATTTTATTATGCTCAATTTATCAGCACAGCATAGCTAGAAAACACATACTAATCTGTTTGTATTCCCCCTTCGCTTATTACACCAATATTTTCCAGTATCAAAGCATTAATCTTTCCCAATGTTATTGTAAAATAGTAGTTTGAGTTTTACTGATTCTATATATTATTTTCTTATGCAAGCATACCCCTGCATACATTAGTATAGAATTTCAGTGTGAAGAAGAAAATCCATATCTGGCAGTCGTGCCCACGATTCACCAGTTCACATGGTATATTTCTCCGTGTGCAGGCCTAGGAAAACTCAAGGCTGCTCATACAGTGGGGCAGAAAAGGTATGTGTGAATGTTCACACATGGAATTAGTAGTGTTCATAATGTGGATGAGGATTTTAAAAAAATGGTTTTGTGGGAAAGAGCTAACACAGTTCAAGGTTTCAAACACTGTGAGAATGCAAAATACTTAATGGAAAACCAGGAAAGCAATGCATTAAAATCCTGGAATCTTCATGCATGAGGCTATGGCAGATTCATCGAAACAATGCATGATTTCTCCGCAGGGGTAGGGTGTGTGTGTGTGTGGGGGGGGTGCCATCAAGTCACAGCTGACTTATGGTTACCCTGAAGGGTTTTCACAACAAGAGATGTTCAGAGGTGGTTTGCCATTGCCTGCCTCTGCATCCAGACCCTGGTATTCCTTGGAGGTCTCCCATCCAAATACTAACCAGGGCTGGTCCTGCTTAGCTTCTGAGATCTGATGATATCAGACCAGCCTGGGCTATCCTGGGCTACAAACGCCTGGCAAATTGCCTGTAGCCTGGGCTACAAAATGCAGAGTTCAGAATTTGCAAAAGAATACTATTAAAACCCGACTAGCCCTCTGACAAATGCCAGTGAATGATTGCAAAAAAAGAAATAAAGAAATCCATTGTGTAGCCATCTCAAGCCTTAACACTCAAGCCTCAACAAAGAGTTGATTTGAAATGATTTGTGCATTTGTTCATGAGATTTCCTGTAAATTTGTTAAATACCTTCTGTATTATTTTTAACAAAACTAAGCAGTCCCACAAATTGGAAGTCTACTTCATTGTCTTAGCCCAAAAGCACTCCTTGTTTTCTTTCCAGGAATATTCTTCTTCATAGACCTCCTGAAACCAAAGAGTACCACAGAGAATTATTGCCAAGTTGATTACACTGATGTGCATTCTATTACTTGGATGTAAATGAGAAATCCTTTTGTCTGATACTGCAGCCTCTGGCATCTGGTTTTAATTAACTGTCTGTTAACACGTAAAGACAGCCAAGCATGATCCAACAGCCCATGGGTACAGCGGAACAAGAAACTAAATGTGGGTCTTTGGGGGCACTAACTGCATATAATGGAAAAAATTCACGGGCCCTAAGGAAAAAAAATACTGGAGTACGTACACAGGAAAGGACTAGCAGGGAGGAGGACAGTAAAAAATGGTTTAATTAAGTCACACATTGAACCTTTCCGTATTCACAGGTGCACCCACAGAAAGGTCGGCCCAACCTTCATCTTTCCAACTTAAGCAAATATTTGGATCATATGAATGGGCTCTGAGATGGTAGGATAGACATTTTGAGCATAGAAATGTGATGTGTACGGTGGACATGGCTGCGGTGACTCAGGGTGCTTTTGCAGTTTCAGCTGGTGCATCAATGGTGCCCATTCCTGGCTCAGTCTGATCTAGCCACAGTGATTCAAGCCTTAGTTGCATCTAGACTGGACTATGGCAACGTGCTCTACTGGGGCTATCCTTGAAGAGCGTTCAGAAGCTGCAGCTAGTGCAGAATGCTGCAGCTAGACTGCTGGTCGGGGTCAGCTACTGGGAACAGAGGAACCCAGTACTGCAGCACTTATACTGGCTACCGATCCGCTCCCAAGCTCAATTCAAGTTGTTGCTTTTGTCCTTTAAAGCCCTACGTGGCTTGGTACCGGGGTATCTGAAGGACCATCTTCTCCCATACATTCCCGCCTGGGAACTTAGCTCACAGGGAGAGGCCCTCCTGACTGTCCCATCAACCAAAGAAACTTGTCTGGTAGGCATCCAAGAGAGGGCCTTTTGGGTGGCAGCCCCACTCCCCGCGGAGATTCAACGGGCACCCTTACTTTAAGTCCTTTTAGGAGGCAGCTGAATATGACTGTATTTAGGATCACACTTGACTAGTTTAGTTTTGTTTTTTTAATTTACTAACAGTCCTAATTGTGATCTTCTATATATTTTCATAACAGCTGTTTTATTTACATTGTGAGTTCAGCAAGGTAGAGAGGAAGCTAAAAATGTTTTAAATAACTAGAAATAACTAAAGATGCTAGGATTCTGCTGGAATTGTATTAGAGCTTTTCTGGATACTCCCTCTCCTGGGAATCATATGGAAAACAGAAGCGAGTAAGTGGAGGAAATCCACTCCCACTGTTAGCAGCAGGGCCAACTAGGTCCCATCACCTTCCTCACCAATCTGGAGGACATCCATCCATGACTACTGACTCAAAAACAGTTTATGACTCACACAGGCGAGAAAGTGTTTACTCTGCACATGTTTAGGAAGCTCAAATCACTCACTGAAGTCTGTGTAAATATTCTACATACAAACACAATTAAGCTGACTACAAAAGTCTCCAATTTATACTGTTGGAAACGGATTTGAAAAAAAGAGCATTTCAGTAACTGTGGGGCTTGCAGCAAAAGTCATTCATTCAAAATGTTGGAAGCTGAGGTCTGTCCCTGAAACCAAAGGGTAAGAAAGGCATTAAATATGCAAACAACAGGGCAATCCTGTGCAGACTTACTCCAGTCGAAGGGCACTGACTTCAGGAGGCTTAAATTGGAATAACTCTGTTTAGGATGGCAAAGGTGCTACTGGACTCAAATCTAACTGCTCTGCTTAGGATGGCAATGTTAGTCAATGCAGTGTAAAAAAATGTAGCTATTATTTCTTGTCTCCCTTATCGAAATGTTGCCCTGACGTGGATTGCCCAGGCTAGCCCGATCCCATCAGATCTCAGAAGCTAAGCAGGGTTGGCCTTGGCTAATATTTGGAAGGGCAACCTCCAAGGAATACCAGGATCGTGAATACCACCTCTGAAACGTCTCCTGCCTTAAAAACACGTCTAGCTCACCACCTAATAGTGCATAACGTGAAAGAGCTAGAACTTCTGGTCGCCAGACAGTCTTAGGATCTCCTGGCTATTCTACACACAATGCCATAATTATTAATTAATTTTTAATTACCAAACGTCAATCAAACATGTTCACATGAAAATCTTGCCTATAATTTTTAGGAGAGATAAATGGGGGGGAGGGGGGGGCAGGTTGTCTGTTGCCTCCTCATTATGGCAAGAAAAGTGACCCAGTCATAATCTTGTTCTCAGTCTAGCCCAGGACTTGCTAGAAAGGAAGGTAACACACGACTGCCACCTCCTCGTCCGTACTCCTTATCGTAAACCTATTCTCTTTAAGAAAGGCAGACTACAGATTAGGTCTTGCATAGGGTAAATGGGGCTGCACTGCATACATGGTTACTTTCCTGCCTCCCTTCTATCACCACCGCTCACTGTTCCTCCCCGAATTGCGATCAGTGAATCCCCAAGGGGGTCAAAGTGTGGGGGATGCAGTGAGAACAAGAGAACTGGCGAAAGCCACCCTCCTCGTACTGCAGGATCGGAAGTGCCTACTGCCAATGAAATGAAAAGGACACTTTGGATCCAAGCCTCAAAGTGCTAGATAACACAAAAACATTTGGGTTTGTTTTGTAAACAGATAAAAAGTGATACTACTATACAAAACCCTTTCATTGAAAATGGATGTCCTTGTCCCTCTACCACCACTCACTACGTGGAAGTACATTTACAAGAACCAACAACAAATCATCTGTGTTTTTCACCTCATGGAAAGGTTTCCTGTTTTGGTTTTTTAATGGATCATTATTAGCCAGTACGCCCTTGAAAAATAACTGATTCCTTGTCCTCTGTGACTAGCTGTCTCTATGAAGCATGGATGACGTATATGGAATTTACGGTACCGTTTTAGAAAACAGAAGTATTGTGATACACGTACCTTTTTCCAGATAGGTACTGTTGCTTTTAAAGTATTGATGCAGTACTGCACAGCCTCAAGAGATTCTGCTCTGTGAGGAGACGAGATCGCCACAATCACACTCGCTTCGCTAATGGGAACCGTACTACAGAGGCAGTGAAAGGAGACATTTGTTGTTGCTTTTAGCCACATTAACTTAATCTTTAGACGTCTAAATAAAAAGCCAAGGCCTTTCTGCTAAAGGCTGCGCAGACGTACAAAAACAGGCAGGCTGTGTTCTAGGAATCTTAAATTAGATTGGAACCGCACGTCTCTCAGTTGTACTTTGAAAGGTAGGACTCAGCACAAAAACAAATTAAGAAAAGCTAGGAGAACACATAACTTACAACAACAACAACTTGTTATAATGATAATTAAACTCTGAGCTAGGCAACAGTAGCACCGTCAGGAACAGTCCAGGCTCCCAAGCAATTTGTCTGAGGAAAGTTAGGCCTCACAGGCCTCTACTGAATTAGACAGTAGGTTGAACCACTCTCAAAGGCCTTGAACCAGCAACGTATAAGACCAAGGGGAACACATTGCTTAAATTCTCTGAAAACCTCATTTTAAAGGCTTGGGGGGCTAGAGGCAGCAGTTGGGGGAGCCTGGTTTAGACTGCCCAACAAAGCCCGCCAAGGGGACCAACCCTGCGGGGACAGCCGCAGCCAAGCCTGTGGGGAGAACTCTCCCCATGAGATCAGCTCCTTGGCATGCTCTGCCAGAGCCCCAGCAGAGCACATGCACCATACACCTCATTTACCGATAAACTCCTATCGTTAAACTGGTCATGCTTGTTAAAAAAAAAATGAAAGTTTACAAGTGAGCACCGATGAAGGGGGGGAAGATAGCAGAAGGTGCAGAGTGGGAGGAATGCCCTTGATGGGGGCAGTAGAGTGGCCCCTGAAGGGTGAGGAAAGAGAGGGGAAAATCCAGGGGAATATGCAGGGGTCATTTCGTAGAAAAAGAGGTGCAGGAGCTCATTAGCATAGGTCATTAGCATAACTTATTTGCATATGCCACACCCTCTGGTATTACCGGAAGTGTGTCAGAAGGCAACACCCACTGCTCAGGCTCCACTGGACTGTTTTGGATTGCTAGCTATGGGGGGGGGGGACCGGCGCAGATCCTTGTGCTCCTCGTGGCCCGGGGCTGCTGGGAGCAGTGGGCGGGGCTTGTTGCATGTGCCCGCCCCCTGGGCTGTTTACTGCCGGAGCTCCGCTCCTGTGCACTCCTGCAGGAAATGACCCCTGGGAACATGTCTGCTTTTGAATGACTGCTGGCTGGGAAGTGAGGCACAGGGGGAACCCACAGAAAAACCACTCTCAGAAAACTCGGGCCAATGGCAAGCAGAAAGCGAGCTTGGTACCGAAGGGAGGAAAAGTAATGCAGAACTTTTTTTAAAAAAACGCCCATTGAGAATGCACGACAAAAGTGATGGGAATGCGGAACGATGAATAAAAACCAACGGACCTGCATGGGGAAAGCGAGGCAAAACACCCATGCATAATAGGCCCGAGTTAATGCAGCTGCAAAAATTGTTTTCTCCCAACTTTGTCAACCCTTCTACCGTGACTAAGCGAATGTAGTACCTGGATCCAATCCAAGATTAGACTACTGCAGTCAAACTAGAGACTCCAGTTGGTATAGAACTCCACAGCTTGGTTATTATCAGGAGCTATATGGGGCTTGCACATTACACTCGTTCTACAGTCACTCCATTAGCTGTCCAACAGTTACCGGGTTCAATTTGAGATGCTCTCACATACAAAGCCCTGTGTGGCCTTGGACCCTCGTACGTGCAGGACCACCCCCTCCCCCATTCTGCCACAATAGCGCCACTTTTCTGATCACCTTCTGCAAACAGACAACATCAGCAACCACTCATATACATGCTCTCACTGTTGTGACCCCCACTTTGTCGAATGGCCTGCTTGAGGAGGTCAGGAGGACCCCCACACTCCTATCACGTCGCAAACTATCTAAAATGGAATTTGTTCTCTGTGAAGGTAATAGGGCTATATTATAACAGAAGAGTCCAGGGAAGCACTTTATAAAGGGAAAGGGACTGTGGATTATACCGCTGTGTGCAAGACACACTATCAGTTTGCTGCATGTAATACCCAGTTGTCATTTCATAGTTTTCCACTGGTATAATATTATTTTTCTTCATTATATCCACACTCTGAATCATGCCTAATATGCTATGCTTGCTCAGATTTCAGCAATACTAGTCCTATTACATTGCTTATGAGATGTCTTCTCATACTGATTATATCAACCTGCACTGTGCTTCTTTTTAGATGTCTCTTCACACAGACTGTTATCAATTTACACTGTGTAATCCACTTTCGGTCTCAGTAAAAAAAGGCAGACTGTAAATACAGTAAATTAAAAAAGAAAAATTCACAAGGCCCCCTTCCAGTCACAAGTACATGTTTCACACTGGCTTTCTACTGTGGAAATCTGTATTTATGTACTTCATTTTTAGCCCGCCTGTCTTGCTGAGACTCCACACAGATTACAAAATACAGAAAACAATTTAGTAATGCACCATAATGCATCCAATGAACAGTGCAACAGGACTGAGATTACAGAATTAGAACACATGCAAAACAAACAAAGTCTAAGGCATGCTTATACCGTAATGCAGAAAACGGATTTCAAAGATAAAAGGCAATGCAATAGAAATGCAAGGTGATCCATACAACAAACATTGCAATGGACTACAGTCCTATACCTTCATAAAAATGATCTTCTGAGCTATTGCCTTGTACTAGAGTTCTAATCCTTTTATAAAAATGCCCTCCTGAATCATTCTGTTTTGTATGGTACTTTAATACTGGATCACACCTAAAAGCTGGGGCAGCCAAGAAAAATAAAGCAGACTAGAATCTGTAATAAATGAAAACGAAAGACCCGATGGAAAGCCACTATCTAACTGAAGGGAGTCTCATCCCAAGCATCCTACATTAGATTCTGCTGCTGCCTCACAGGCTGTGGGCACCCCCATCTACTTCCATTCAGTTTTCTACATTTATTTATTTCTATCCCCCTTCTCTCCCCAGTTGGGATTCAAAACATGTTTTTTTTTTAGAACAATCATGTCCCCCTCGTCCATCTCCTCATGACAACAGCCCTGTGAGGTAGGCCAGGCTGAGCCTTTGTGACAGGCCCAAGGTCACCCAGCAGGCTTCCATGGTAGAAATGGGGATCGGAACCTGGATTGTCCAAGGTCCTAGTCTGCCACTCTATGACACCACACTGGCTCTCTACTTTCAACAAACCCCCCCTTTCTCACCCAAGACCTCCCTCTCCCCATCAATAGAGACCCAAGCATTTGAAAGCTCAAACGGGCACACACAGAAGGACGAGTTTTTTCAATGATTCAGGAGATGTGTATGCATTGGCCATACATACCCAAGTCTATGATGTACTGCTATATGTCTGACTGAGGGCCATTTTAATCTTATATTAGTGCATATTTTCTTTATTTCCACTCCAGCCATGGATGCATACGCTTCATATTCTAAGCACTTGACTTTCCTCCCATCAAAGTTATTTCTGGTAGTGCCTGAAATAGAAGGACGTGTTATTTCAAAGGATATTTCAGCCTGAAAGAAAAGACCGGCTACCCCTCAGCTTTTGGAACAACAGCTTTGCTAGGTACGCGAATTAACTACAGCTGATGTTTACTAAGAACTTGCCAGGAATTTGAGTTGATAGCAGGCTCAGCCACAGAGCGATTTCTCGCGTCCTTGGTCTAGTGATCCAGCACCCATTTAGATTTGTAGCAAGTTTGTGTTAATTTTGGCACGGGCAGCCTTTCAGGGATAATCCCATGGCATTTCTGGACTCCAAACATGGAGAGCCAGTGTGGTGTACTGGTTAAGAGTGTCAGACTAGAATCTGGTAGACCCCGGTTCAAATCCCCACCCATGCCATGGAAGCATCGGGCCAGTCACATTCTCTCAGCCTAACCTACCTCACAAGGTTGTTGAAAGGAAAAGATGGAGAAGAGGAGAACAATGTAAGCCTCTATAGGTCCCCACAGGGGAGAAGGGCAAGGTTCAAATGTATTACATGAATAAAGATCATAAGATGCATAATTAGCAGGGGACTTGCACGGGCTGAAACTCACAGCACACACAAACTGTGAAAAACAGATGTTCTGAATAAAGTTGTGGGCCACTCTAGCTGAAGAGTTCACTGAGCAGCATGACAACAGACACTGCATTATGTCACTGTAGCCCCAGGAAAGACTGAATGCTTCCCATTGCAGAGGCTTCTCATGGCCTGCATAGGCTGATGACATCATGGAGCACGATTAGGGGTGTGCACACAAAAAAATCAGTATTTTTAGGGTCTGGGTATACACTGAAAAATATCAGTATACACCGATATTCCCAAATCCCAGTAGCGGTATTGTACTGGGATCTGGGAAAACATCAGTATTATTGAAAATATCCCAAGGTGGGCAGCTAGGGGAAGGAAGGCAATGGTCAGTTTCGGCCCCCTCCACCTGGAAGCGGAGAGGACAGAAACTGACACAATCTTCCTTCCCTTCCCCAGCCAGCCAAGGTTTCTTTAATTGTCCCCCTTAATTCCCTAGCCAGTTGCCCCAGTGGGTTGGCTGGGAAAGGGAATAGAGATCAAAGAATTTAAATTACTGTGTTTTTTAAACCACCCTGCAGAAAAAGCCGCCCCCGTATCTTTGCAGGTGGGTAGGCTCTCCTTCCCTGCCACATAGACTCAGCTGGGAGAGGGAATTCCCTCCATCCCCTCCCCGGAGTCAGGCTGCAGTTTAAACCCCTTCCCTTCTCTCCAGAGTCACACCCTAGCTGCAGCCTGACTCCAGGGAGGGGAGGGGAAGGCTTTAAAGTTTAAACCTCTTCCCTTCTCTCTGGAGTTGCACCGCAGCTGCAGCCCAACTCCGGGATGAGATGGGAGGGGTTTAAACTTAAAACCCCTTCCCTTCACTCCGGAAGCCCATATAAAAGCTGAATAATTTTGGTTTTTATTCTGGTGGGGCTACTTCAGTAGCCGAATCCAGATCTCTGATCTGTATTTGGCTGAATAAATACTCGAACAATACTGAAAAGGTATTTTTGGGTGTTTGGCTTGATATATACCGAGCGCACATCCCTACACATGATGCAACAGGCCTCTACAAAGATGCCTCCACAAACACATGCATACAGGAAGTTATGCTAGGAACATTCTTCGGGAGCATCTTTGTTTAGGAGTGATAGTTATCACAATATGCATTTCCATATAGTATCCATATGACGCATGGTATCTTTGAAGAAACTACTTTGAGCCTCCTGGATTTAGGGTTGTGCTGAATGAAATGTCTGAATGAATGCTTCAACGTCCTTCTGTCCGTTCATTTGTATGCCCGCCCAAGATCATTCTACATGTGATATTCTCTCTTGAACAGGCTGCTCTCTCATTTAACGGTATGCATTTAAGCCCACCTATGAACAGGGACACAGCACCACAGCAGGGAGAAATCACCAGGGCTGATACTTCGTCTGCCGAGAGCTTGTCTTCAGTCAATTTAATGAAGTCCTTGGGTTCATCCCCAATTCCATTCATGATATCTCTAGAACTGTGTAATGAAAAATGATTTACTGTTCTGGTTACTGGGATCGTTTACAATGTCATTTCTGAGCTGATAACGTTTACCAAGGAAACATGCATCACATCAATCAATACACTTCTTGGGGGGAGGGGGATTGCATGGCTTTGCATGCAAACCCAACAAAATTACCTTAATAAAAATTGGGGGGGAGGGAGATATTCTTCAAACAATTTTACAGTAATTAAAAACAGATACTAAATAGTCATCAAAATAATTTGATTACACATTCACCAAAATAAAATAGCCTGGTAACATTTCCCAAATTTCTATTACATGGTGAAGGCAAGTTAGAGTAGACAATGGCACTATACACACAACTTAATGCAAGTTGAAACAGACACATACAGCTTTATTTATTTGTTTAATTCATTTGCACCCCACCCTTCTCCCCAGTGGGGACCCAATGCAGCTACACTGTGCTCCTCTCCTCCGTTTTATCCTCACAACAACCCTGTGAGATAAGTCAGGCTGAGAGAGTGTGACTGCCCCAAGGTCACCCAGCAAGCTTCCAAGGTACAAGCAGGGATCTGAACCTGGGTCTCCCAGATACTAGTCCGATACTCTTAATCACTACACGAGACTGGCTTCCCCAAAAGAGAGTGAGCACAGGTGCTTATCTCTTCCCCAAAAGAAAGTGAGCATGGGTGCATTGGCTCCACCCGTGGTGCTCATGGGTGTTCTTAGCAACCAGGGCAGCTTCTCTGGGCCCCACACTAGGTCAGGGGCCCTGACCAGCCACAACCCTGCGGGCACAGAGCAAGCTCTTGCAGCTGTCACCTCTCATGCCCACCCTACCTGGTGCTCAGACAACCAGTTTCTGGTGACACTGGCACCTTCTGCCAGCCTCCCACAAAGGGAGGGCTACCTCTTGCTTGGCTCCAGTGGGTTGATGGCAGGGGGCAGTGATTCTGAACCCCCCCCCCCCGGCCTTATGTTCAGGGCCCCAGAATCACTAATTTATGTTATTTATTTTCATTTAATTTTCATTGCATTTATACCCCGCCCTTCCAGAGAACGGGCTCAGGGCGGCTTACAAGAGCACAAAGTGCATATATATAGTGTACAATATATAAAATGGATAAAAACAGTTAAAAAAAACCCAATACCATCAGGATGCACAAAAGACAAGCGAAAACTCCCACATTTTGCATAGCAGAGGAGAAAACTAGGGCCACGGTTGAGTGTTACACGGTCTTCCGGCGGTAACACTTTCTGGAGAAATGGTGGTGGTGGTGGTGATGGCAGTGGCGGCTCCTACTCATATGTCCTACTCATGGACCTACTAAGACCAGCCCTGCACGTGAGAGTTGGTTCATGAATCTATGCGTACACATGTAAGGCTCCCTTTCCATGTTCAGGAATACAGCTTTTCAAATATCCCTAGATCTCTCTCTTGTATGTATAGGGGAGTCATAGCACTTTTAACAGCCTTAGCTGTTCACATTCATCAATATTTCTCTGCCCTGTCACTGTCAACACAATCACTGTTCAGGAAAAACAGTGCTACACACCTGAAAAGGTCTTCCCAACTTTAGCCCCCACTGATAGGTGGGATAATGGCAATTTCGTCACCCGTGCGTAGGTCCAGCAGCTGGTCCCCGAGGAGCACGTATTCCTGGCGGACAGCAAAAACCACTTGATCCTGTATGGCAGCAAGGCTGAAAGAACAAATTTCACGTGGTTACAGCTTTTCACAAGGAAATTACAAGCCCAACATTACACAACTCCAGCCAGCTAAGTCAGCTCTTTAGCCCCAAAGGATAGGTTTTCAAGAAAACTACATGCTTAATTTTCACTCCTTTTATATTGCTAGCTCCTCAACTGTGATTTCTTAATCTTTCTGTCATACGTTTCTTTGAAGAAATGTTCTGAGGGTACAGAAGAACTCATTATTATTAGTGGTCCTATCTAGATAAACATTAGCTGGGAACAGAACAGAGGCCTGAACCTGAGTGACTCTGCTTCCAACCACAGAAGAGCAGTTCCATCAATCACTGGAAGTAATTTCCACCAATTCCTTCCACCCAGAGCAGAACCACACTTTGCCCCCTGTGTTGTTCAGGAAGGTTCACTGCCCACTGTTTGGGAAAAGGCTTCAGGAGGGGAAGACAGGAAGCTCCTACTCCACAAGCTCTACTCCACTCACAGAGGTCATAAGAACAAGGAGGGAAGAAGGTCACTTGGGGAGTGATCAGTCGCTCTCCAGCGCTGCTGTAACCACTTCCCTTTAGAGGGCCTGCAGCTGCTTCTCTTTTTTTTATTGTGCAAAGGAGACAAAAGCACACGCACACACACACGTTTGCTCTGAATGGGAAAATCACAGCACCCTTTCTCAACTGTCTCTCCTCCTTCTCCATCCATGAACACATGCAGCCTCGTTCTGGATAGGATACAAGAGGTTCTTTCCCCCAGCATCAAAACGGCTGTTTACCTCTCCCATACAAAACACAGAGGTAAACGACATATTTTGTTCCCAGGGCAAGTTACAATTTGAGGTGGGGATGGCTTTTTGTGGAGGGGAACAGCAGAGAAAAAGCTCCCCCATCTGAGCATCACAAACCTGCTCTGAAACACTGTAATTTTTGCACAAACCACTATTTTGTGACTGCCTTACCCACCAAGCTGCCATTTTGTAACTAATATCTCCCAATGCTCTTGAAAATAATTAAGTAGTTTAAAAAAAAACACATGAAGCAGTATTTCTGAACAACAAATGGTACCCATGCTCCCTAAATATCTTGAGGGCCACCTCAGTTTTTATGTAAGTTTGAAAATCACAAACCTCAAATTTTCCCTGAAAAGCTTTAATTCAACACTTTAATTCAACACATCACAACACCACAGTTGAAAGGATAAATTATATCTTTTAACGGGACTACAGCACACAGGGAAAAGGCTGAAAGGGAGATTTTGCTCTCACATCAACAATGGTGTCTAATACAACACTTACATAATACTAAACTTTTAGATATCACTTTCAGTGCTGAAAGAACTTCACACACTTATAAAGTAGGCTAGAATTATTATTATCCACACATTGCAGATACAGGACTGGGAACCCCAACAGGAACCATGACTACAATATATTGAATTTGTCTCAGAAAACTGAAATGGATGTGTCAGGATCAAAGCCTGTTCCTATCTGAGCCAGTGTGTGCGGTAGTACCTATAGTGTCAAACTAGAACTAGAGAGACCTAGATTCAAATTCCTACTCTGGCATAGAACTCATTAGCTCTTCCTACTAACCAACCACACTAGAGTAATACAGAATCCAGAAAAATTATTCTTATCAATGCAATTTAGATGAACAAGCCCAGGAAATCTTGAAACTCTTGTGCTCTTTCCTCTCCTTCCACGCAACCAGCTTAAAAAAAAAAAATCTGCTTTGCAACATCATAAATTACCATTTGGTCCAAGCCAAAAAGTACAGCATGTGCTTCCCCCACAAAACATACCACTGTATGGAATCCCAGTTCGGAAGAACTGCCCAAACTATAGCCTGGCAGCACAGATTTAATGGACTGGAGCATAAAGAGGAAATAATTCATTAAATAGGGGGAGGAGCCATGGCTCAGTGGAAGAGCATCTGCTTGGCTTGCAGAAGATCCCAGGTTCAATCCCCAGCATCACCAGTCAAAAGGATCTGGCAGAAGGTGATGTGAAAGACCTCAGCCTGCGACCCCTGGAGAGCCGCTGCCAGTCCGAGTAGACAATACTGACCCTGATGGACGAATGGTCTGTTTCAGCTTTGTGTATTCAAATATGCACAACAGGAGGACGGAAGGGAAGCACAGAAAACACAAACTTCAGGATCTCTCAGGTCTGTTTATACAGTGACAACATACAGTTACCCACTATAGTTGAGCCAAGGCGTAGGTAAAACGCACAATACCTTGAATGTCTCTTCACAATTTCATCCCACAGCCGCAGCGATGTTATCTGCTGGGGCACAGAAATGGTCTCAGTGCGGACTCCGGCTAAATCAGCACTTCTCGCAAAATACAACACGACCACCTGTTTTTAAAGAGTCCATCAGACAAATAATCACATTCAGCATCGGAACAGCACAGTAATCCCCAACATGGTACCTCCAAACACCAAAAGGACCTCCCTGTAGGTTTTCTGGGCCACACTTGCTTCTTCCCCAAAGCATTCATTTCATTTTATTGGACTTGTTTCCCGCCCCCGCCCCTCCAAGAAGGCTCAGGGAGGGTTCCAAAAATCGCTTCCCTAAAACCAAGGGCCAGTGGCATAACAGGTGCCATCATCTCTGGAGACATACCTGTCTGCATCATAACAGGCTTGCTTTTGTGATTGCTCCCACCTAGGGTTGCCAGGTCCCTTTTGGCCACCAGTGGGGGATGTGGGAGGTAGGGTTGCCATATCGAGGCTGGGAAACTCCTGGAGATTTGGGGATGGAGCCTGGGGAGGACAGGGACCTCAATGAGGTACAATGCATAAAGTCCACCCTCCAAAGCATCCATTTTCTGTTGGGGAACTGCTCTCTGTAGTCTGGAGAGGAGTTGTAATTCCAGGGAATCCCCAGGTCCTTCCTGGAGGCTGGCATCCCTACTCCCACTCCTAAGGCTTGTGATTGGTTCTGCCTCCCATGGCGACCATTTTGTGGTGGCACCCACTATCCTTTCACAAAATTTCAAAAGTGCCCATAGGTCAAGAAGGTTGGGGACCCCTAGTGTAGCCTATATGCAAAGTTTCTCCAGGGTCTCGGAGAATTTATATAATCAATCTGTCTCTAGTGCTTTCTTAAGCACTTAGGGCACTTTATATTACACACATTACCTCAAAATTCTCTACAAAAGTTCTGCACGTTAGACGGGGCTTATTATTCCAGAACAAGTGAGCAGAAGAAGCAAAGACAGCTGCTTCCCAGCGGCCACATACTAACATAAGGGCCAAGTTTAACTTTGAAACACAAACAGATTATGCTTTTAAAGTGCCACACTACACTTGTTCCAAACATCTCAGAATAACCATATTACATCATTTCCCTCTTGTTCCTACAAACGAAAAGCAATCTTCCAGTCCCTGAAAAAGGAATTTCAACAAACTGCTTGAAGTTCTTAAAATCTAGTGGATCAACACACACACGTGCATTTACATACACAAGTATTGAAGTATGAATGCCAAGGACCAGGGTAAACAGAAAGCAAAATTTCACTCTAACATGGAGAATTTCAATATGGTCACTAAACTATAAGGGAAAGAATACATGAACACATGGAGCTGCCTTACACTGAATCAGAGCCTTGGTCCATCAAGGTCAGTATTGTCTACTCAGACCTGAAGCAGCTCTCAAGGGTCTCAGGCTGAAGTCTTTCACGTTACCTACTGCCTGGTCCTTTTAACTGGAGATGCTGGGGATTGAACCTGGGATCTTCTGCATACCAAACAGATGCTCTGCCACTGAGCCACAGCCCCTCCCTCATAAATATGAACAGACCTGTCTGGAGACTAAGATCATCCAAGACTTTGCCCTGTGCAGCCCTATCTTCTGAAATTACTGTGGCAGCCTCAACAGACAGGGCCTTATCAGTAGTGGCCTTTATCATGCAGTTTTCGGCACCAATATGTCCAGCACCATGCTCTTACAGGCATTTGGGTAAAGACAAAAATGGGAGCACAAATGCCATGTGGCTTGCCAGATTCAAGCACAGAGTGACTGAGCGCACTCCGAAAGCATCCTGTGCTCTCTGGTCTCAGACCTGGCTTAAATGGGATGCTGGCAGCCCGGAAGAACTTACTCAGATGATGCTGTACACAGCCAGAGTCTTGCCTTCACATGTGCAACGTTAACCCAACATGGACTGGGTAGGCATTATCCTGGCATGCTAGTGTTGCACGTGTAGTCACTCTGCATGAGTAGCAGTCCAGTTTAAACAATATGACGGGAGTGTGCAAAGCCACACTGGCAAGTTCTTCCCACCCACTGGCATCGTGCCAGGATGCATGAAGAGCATGCAAGGCAGCAAGGAGATGTAAGGAACATTTATCCTAACAGAACAGGAACTTCAGGTTACTAAAGAGCCTACCCAACAGCCATATGCCAGCCGCAGCAACCTATGCTTTAGCAGTACAGCAGTCAAGTTACAATGAACACATGTTCATGAGAGGGGACAGATCTCAGGGTCTCAATAAATGGCATTCTATAATTAAGGATACACCAATCTCCAATTTAGACATATTTATTTCCTTCACTATGCTCCCCCCGCAGAACTGAACCCAAGCAAATGATAACCATACATATAAACTAAGCTTGTTATTCCTGAATCTGATAAACATCTTCATTTTGTTACATGCTAATTTACCACTCTCTGCCTATACGCATGGACTGGTAAGTTCCGTTTCATTGTGTCTGAGGAAGTGTGCCTTGCACATGAAAACTTATACCTTGAAAACTTATACCTTGAATAAAACTATGTTGGTCTAGAAGGTGCCACTGGACTCAGACTTTGTTCTGCTACTTGAAGACCAACATGGCTACCCACCTGAACATGTACAACTTGTTTACACTTGACTTTTCTTTGTATACCTACCTGCTGAAGCCATTTTACTTTACACTCGATGCACACACAGCTGAATATGTGATTTAACCCTACAATTATCCAGGTCTTCAGTTTTATTTCGAAACTCACCCACCCTGGAATTTTCTTACAGGCCCACTCAGCACAGCTTGTGTACAGGGCTCAGTGGGCAGACCCGGGGTCCAGCGCCCGCAGGGCGAAATTTAGCGGCTGCCCTACAACCCGTGCGCCTGGCCTCGACAGAGGGGCACGTGGAACAACAGCAGTCAACATGTTCCCTCTGAGCCCGCATCTCCAAGGAAGGGGTCAGCTCTGTCCCAGATCCGTGCGCCTGGCGTGCAAACGGTTAACAACAGGTATTTCGAAGGCCCAGTGGAGGCTCTCGGATAGCGGGGCGGGGAGTAGGGAGCAAGTCTCGCAAGGGAGGTGGTTACAGAAAGCGTGCGGGGTCCCTGGAAGCGCTTTCCCACGACTCCAAGCGCAGCCCGCGGCCAGCCTCCCCCTCCCGGGGGCCCGGCGGGGGAAGCGCCGAATACCTCGCAGGTCATTGACAGTCCGTCCTGGGCGAGCGGCCGCCCCGCTCGCTCTTCCCCAGCCAGCGACTTCTGCGCCTGCGTCTGTCCTGGAAGCCCCTGCGGCGCTCATCCCGAGTCGGCTGGCCTGCCCCTCCGCACCGCCTCCAACCCGCTCCGCCTCCGAAGGGCCGGCCTCTCGCAACCGAGCAATGCCGGAAGAAACCCGAGATCGAGGGAGGGAGGAGGGAGCCTCGTAGGGCGCCGACCGGGGTAGTTGTCTCGAGTTGGGCTGTGCGACCGCGCTTGTCAGAAACGCCGCATTGCCTCATCTGCACAGGGGGGAGGGATGCCTTTAGCTGGGTCTAGACATGGAAGGCGGGTGTGTCTTTTGTCTGGGTATAATATAGATACCATAACCGTGCAATTAATATGTATAACAGATAGCAGCACAAATCACTCAGGTTTTATCCACTTTTTTCTTACAGTTTACCTTTGCGAATTTTCTGACTAGTTAAATATGCTTGTGTTACAGTAGCCTATGCATAAATGTCTTGTGTGTTTTTTCCTGATAGGAAAAATGTCCTTAAAAGGCTTGCCCCCCCCCCTCCCAAAAAAGTATTCTTGGTTACAGAGCCTGTGAGCTTCTCAAAGAAGTACAGCAGTTCTGCTGGGGATGGATTTTTCCCTCTGCTGGGTCAAACCAGTTCCTCTTACCTATACTGGTTTTAAACTGTATTATAGCTGCAATCACATGAACACTTGCCCACTCTCTGGGAGACTTTGGGCCAGTCCTCTCTCTCAGACTGACCTACCTGGGATGGATGTTGTGATGACAAAATTGGGAAAGGAGACCCATGCATACTACTTTGGGCTTTTTGAAAGAAAGGTGAGGTTTTAAAATGGCATTGGCAAGCAGAAGTAAATATTGGAGTGCAACTGCCATAGCATCCTCTGAAGGTTGTGCTTTCGTGTGGGAGCTGAAAATTGTCAGTTGACAATTCCAAAACTTTGACATTTGCAATCATTTGTTGCTTTGTTGGTGTCCTTGAGTCTAAAGAGATATGATGGCATATAATACATAATTACATACATTTCCCCAGGAAGAAGGAATGGTGATAAAGATTACTGATACTGTAGTCCTCCTAAGAACACTTCCCTGGCAGTAAGCACCATTAAGTAGACATCAATAAAATTTTGAGTAGACCTAATTAGGTTTGCACTGCTGATTTCAAGATACTTAGAACAGTGTAACTCTTCTCAGGGTTGACTTCTAAATAAAAATATGAGTTTACTAGGAGTAAGGCCCGTTGTGGGAAGAAATATAACGAGCTCTAGAAGGAAGCTCCAGGTGAGTGTCCCGGCTGTGGCTGGTGGGGCGGCAGAGGGAAGGGGAAAATAGAGGGAGGCAAGCCATGTTTATTTCCTTCTGCTAGCTATAAGGCAGGGCTGTCTCAAGTCATTTTGCTGCCCCAAGTGGGTAGTATGGGAGGACAGCCTCATGGTAACACCCCTGACTTATGTTGATTTAGGGTTATGCAGTGGCAGCTAAGGTAGAAATGCACCTCCTCCTATGCCATGTCTTCTGGGTCCCAAGGGTCTGGAAAGCGGTTCCATAGCCAGTTACAGGGTTGCCATCTCTGGGTTGGGAAATACCTGTAGATTTGAGGGGTAGAGCCTGGGGAGGGCAGGGTCTGGGGTGCAGAGGGACCTCAGCAGGGTATAATTCCATAGAGTCCATTGCCTAAAGCAGCCATTTTCTCCAGGAGAACTGATCTTGGAGATCTCCAGGTGCTTCCTGGAGGCTGGCAATACTAAGGGAAGTATCAGACCTGTAGATTTGAGGGGTATAGCCTGGGGAGGGCAGGGTTTGGGGGTGCAGAGGGACTTCAGCAGGGTATAATGCCATAGAGTCCACTGGCCAAAGCAGCCATTGTAATAAGCTGGGAAATTTTCTGTAGAGGAAATGATGTGCTGTGGCTGGGGAACACGGTGATTTCTGGGAGATCTCCAGGCCCCACAGGAAGATTAAACATAGACAAAAAGCCACAGCCACAAAAGCAATGAAGATGCACACAAGGAAGCTGCAAAAGTAAACGCTATATAATGTAATAAAGTGTCAATCATTTACTACATAACATCTGTCTATTAATATTCAGTAGTACAAAACATAGAAAATATACAGTATAATACATATAACAAGTAAATAATGGTATAACATGTGGATAGAAAAATGGTAGTAGAAAACTGGTTTGTAGAAAAAATGGTGGTTATTTTAATGAGCCTGCTTTGGCAGGGAGGGCGGGGTATAAATTTATTTATTTATTTATTTAATTAATTAATTTGCCTGCCACTTCGGATTTTCTCAGTGTTGGATAGGGTTGCCAAGTCCTTACCGTAGGTATAGCGGGGGAGTCCAGTGCTGCTCTGGGAGTTCATGTGCGCGCGCTGCAATTACGTCACCCGGAAGTGACGCAACCACGTTGGGCACGCCGGGGGCGGGGCCACAATCATCCGAGGGAAAACCATAGAGTACTCCCTCGGATGACTGCGGCTCCACCCCCAACGCGCCCGACGCGACTGCGTCACTTTTGGGTGACATGCTGACACCGGGCACATCGCGTGCTTTGGGGGTGGGGTTCACCCCGGGGCCCGATTTGCCGGCGGCGGGTAACGGGCCTCTCGGGCAGGGGTTTCCCCGCCCCCAGGGGGGACTTGGCAAGCCTAGTGTTGGAGTCAAGGCAATACAGGGCAACAGCAGGCTGAAAACGGGCTGACCACTGAAGGGAGGTAATGTAATGTAGAATGGGGGGAAAGCCCGGTGTAAAAAGGTTGAATTTGATTTTAGTGCAGAATCGCTTGAACGTGAAGTAAGAGGAGAGGGCAGAAAGGGCCCCTGTGGGTTTGGCCCTCTATTGAAGTTTGGGGGAAAGGTATTTGGTCCCTTTGGGGGAGCCATAGGGGAGGGCTGAGCAAAAGGACGGGGGAGGGAGATTTCTAAGCGGGGGAAAGGGAGATGGCATCTGGGTCCGAGGGCTGAGAAGAGAGTGACCTGAGAAGGGGTATCAAGAGAACTGCAGCCTTCAGAGATCTTAAGCACCACAACCACCCCAGACAGCCAAGGCACTGCAGGCAGAGTGTGAGAGATTTTGAGAAGGTTCCAGAGAGAGACACGATAAAATACTCTAATCATTGTTTTTAGTTCCAATGCCCCTTTTTGCGTTGTCTGAATTTGAGTTTGTATATGGGTGTACTGTTTTCATTCCCCATTCCTCTTTGTTGAATTAAACCCTACTACTGTTTTTGTTCTACTTCTGTTTGGTTTTAGGTGACTGGAGGGTCTGGGAAGTTGAGTGTGACTTTCTTTCTTTCTTTGCCTACTGGCTGTCCCGCCTGTTTGGAAGTGGAGGCCAGTGGGCTGGAGGCACTGCTACTTCCTTTTTTCTTGTCTCATACACATACACACCCTTAACAAACCCAGGTCCCATAAGTTCTTCCCTCAACTGGGGTTGGTGGAAAAAGCTGGGGTTACATACATGTTTTAGTTTGTGATATTTTTAAATTGTGAGTTGTAAGCTGCTTTGAGTTACAAGGATATAAATATTCTTTTTAATCAATAAATTAAAATTCTGGCCACTTTATATTCAAGCTCTTTCCTTGCCTGTTAACAAGCCTGGATTTTCAAACAAGCAAACTGATATCCATATCTTAAGGTTGGAAACATGAAATTGGTGCAGTGGTTAGAGTTTTAGATTGTGTCTGGAGAGCCCCAGGGACCCTGGTTACCACAAACCTAACTATAACTTGAACCAATATTTTTTTTCTCAGCCTAGCCTACCTCACAGGATCGTTGGAGGGTTAAAATGAGAGAACACCTAAATTCCTTCATGTAATGTTGTGATAAAAGTATACTAAATTATACATGCTTGGCTGAGGTTTGGTTCTTACTGCAAACCATGAAAGAGACACAAAGATGAAATGCAGACTGTATGATTCCTTTACACATTAGACATCACACCACTTTTTGTTCCTGACTTGTCATTTATTCATAAGCCATGTATTTTATTGTCTTTTCATTGCAATGAATGATGGAAGCAAAAGAACCAAGCAGTTGTGGGGGGTGGGGAAGTAGACAAGTCCATTTTATTGACTAATGTCCTGTCGAGATGCTCAGTTAAAGTAGCTTGTGTTGCTGCCAGAACACGGCCCTATATATTCTTTTATACGCTTGGCCCTTGCCCTGGTTCTGTCAGCCGTCATTGCTTGCTTTAACAACGCAGGTGCTAGGGAGTTTATTTATCCATTTTGACATTTACCGTACTATTGATTTCTTGCTGAAGCTCCAATTGCGATGCACTTTTACAACCTATGCGCTGTCCACGTTCTGAATTGTTTATATACAGGTCTGTAGTAAAGGGATGAAAAGGGCTGAGTGCATCAAAGTGTCTGTATGAGAGAGAGAAAAATACTAAAAAGACCGTTTTTATTAAAGCTGGGGTTAATGGCATCTGACAATGTTTGCTGGAAAAGGAAGCTTCCCATCCTACCTCTTGCAAATGCTGTCAAACTCTCTTACTATCACTGTGCTGACTGGAAAACTGGGTTTTCCTGAACAAATTGGTGCACGCAGCCAAATATCATACATAGTTAAAAAGAGGTCAAGTTCTAGTATGGTATAGTGGTTTGGAAGCGACTTGATGGCACTTGACTCACACACACACAGAATAAGACTTGGAATACGTGGGTTCAAATCCTCACTCAGCCCATGAACTTGACTGGTTGACCACAGCCCAGTCATTCTCTCTCAGCCTAATCTGCTTCACAGGTTGCTGTGGGAAATAAAGTGTGACAAAAAGAACTCGAGTGGATGAGTTTAGCCCTGTCATCCTCTATCAGCCTAGCCTCTCTCACAGATTGTTGTAAGAATTAAATGTGGAAGGGAGACCTGGTAGTTGCCTACAACTGCTTGTGGAATGGCAGGATAAAAATGTGGTGGAGGAAAGTCATTTTAGAACTCCTGTCCCTTAGTCATGCTGACTCGTATGTTCTCTTATTCTCCAGGGCAGAAGTCCCCAACATTTTTGACCCTGTGAATGCCTTTGGAATTCTGACACA